ACGAACGAACGGACCGAGCGAACGAACGGCGGAACTTTTTAATTGGGCGTCCTTAATTAGCCGAGTCTCGGTAATTATACTGTCTCTCGCTCCGTTTCCGTGCGCCAACTCTCCGTAACGCTTCTCTTTCTATCTCTCTCTCTCTCTCTCTCCCTCCCCCCTCCTCTCTCGTTCTATATATACATATATATATATTCCTCTCTCCCTTCCTCTCTTTACCCTTCGCGGCGGGGCGCGCGCGTTGCCGCTCTTCGCGTTTTCACTCGAGTTCACCACCGTGGCTCGCGATTAACTGTATTTACTCAATTCCACAGCGGATAAATGCGGATACATTCTTTACCAAATACCGCGCGCGCGCGCGCCACGTTTTTGCCACACAGCACGCACATCACGCGCGAGTTCGCCGCGCGGAATTAATGTTCCCGAAAAAGCCGCCGTTGCACCGCCACGACTTACTTATTCGTCGAACGGGTTGCAGCCCCTCGGGGAGGGGGGGGGAATGACAGAGCGGCCCGGTCGAACGTTGCTGCCGTGCGTTGCGTCGCCGCGCTCGCATTTATATTTCATCAGGCTGCAGGGCGCACGCCGAATCATTTCAATAGCCCCTTTTATTTTTCAGCGACAGCGTGTGCCATATTGCAATTGCGCCGCGATAAGATCTTACGCACATGCACAACAGCCGGGCGGGGGCGTGTCGTCCGCGTGCTTTCACGTTTTATTCGATTTTTATCATTCTCGCGGCGACACACGCTTCTCGTTTCGTCCAACGTTTTCGACAGCGCCGCAGATGAGCGCTCCCGGCGATCCTGGCGAGCTTGTCCAGGTCGTTCGCACGCTGTCGGCGAGATCGAAATCTCGGAAAAGTAACTCGTTTTTTTCTTCTTTTTTTTTTTTCTTCGGAAACTGTCGCTCGTTACTGTTGTTCGCGAAACCTTGACGAGATAAAATTATTGTCATCTTTGCAGAGCGCTGTTGTTATTATTACTAATGTGCCACCTTTCGCATTATTGTTCCAGAGAGCGGCAGACAGATTGGACCTCACGCTTGTACGGTGTGCCAAAATGTCGTTGAAGGGAACAACCACAGCCGCGCGTTGCCGCGCAGCCAGGCGTCGCAGTACGGCTTGCGGGAGGATCAGGTGCCACCTGGGGCGCGTGTTTGCAACACTTGCAGGTGCAAGGCCGTCCGAGGACGTTACACCGCCTGCCCGTTGCCCGGCTGCCCGAATCTGCACAACAGCTCAAAGGCCAGGGTGAAGCGGCTGAGAGCGTTACCGTCGAAATGGCTCGACCTGCCGCCGGAGATCCGGGAGCCGATCGCTCAGGAATTCCGTGAGTACAGTTTTATGGAAATTACGTTCTGGTATTAATTACGTTCTTTGTTGCTGTTATTAAGTCGCCAATTATGAACGTGTGATGTTACTTTAATAGAGATCAGATGAATAGATGGGAGATATAATGTCTGATTTGAAAGATACCGCTTCAGAACGGTAGAAGATAAAAGAAAGATCTGCGAGAAGAGTCGAACGAAAGCTCTCGACGCATTAAACGTGTCGTCCGATCTGTTTCAGAAATACCGAATAGCGCGACGAAATGCTGCTCGGCCTGCTTCAGCCGAATATCGCGGCGGTTGGCGCCGCATCTCGCCGGCGGCAACGAAGTGTCCGACGACGTCGCCGACTTGATGTCGCGGCAGTGGACCGAGGAGGAGCTGGAGCTGCTCCGTAAGGCGCTCCGCGAACACGGCACCAACTGGCTGAAGGTCGCCGAGCAGATACCCGGCAAGACGAATCATCAATGCAAGAACTATTACTTCGCCAACCGAAAGAAGCTGAGCCTCGACCAGGTTGTAGCTGAGTACTATCAGTCGCTGGGAGAAGAGCGACGACCGTGCTTGACGGACGAAGAGGAGAGTGGTAGTAGTACGAGTAGTTGCGACGAACTAGCCGTAAGTTGCAAACAAATGCCGCAGAACTTGGCATTCTTGCATTGGAAATTGTTTCGTATTAACTCACGTGTATCATTAGCTTCTTTTGTACCCAGAGTTCTTGAAATATCAGGTTGATTCGAAAGTTCTTCCCTCGTAAATACTCAACTCAAATAGTTTTTCTCGGTCTGAAGGAAGTTCAGTGTTTATGGTAAAAAAAGTGAGAGATAAAAAGTGTTGGTATGAGGCAGTTTCCAAAACAGGAATCTACCGACAAGTGAAGTGTGTATTTCGTGGGGAGAAATTTCCGAATCAATCCGATGCGTACGTGTACATGTATGCAATAAGTAATGTACGTCGATAAGATATCAACGATTAATGGCGAGATTCACCAGATATTCGGTCACGAAGAATTTTCAGAGCCAATAAGAGCAGGCCATGATATTGGCAAATAATTATTTCCGCGGGAGGATAATAATGTTGACAAAGTACTGCGCATGTGTCGAGAAATTTTCGGTCTTTCAAACGTGCGCGGAACGCTAATTAGCAGCCACTTTACCGCGTCGAAACTGACTTTGTATCCGGATTTTATTATTTAAACTATATTAAACTCTACATTAAACTCACCCCTCTCAAACTATGAAAATTGCTTACACGACCTAAAAGCCAACGTTTGATATTCGAGTTACAGTGACGTTCACGAATATTGTTGTGTAACCGAATACACGCATAAAAATGAAAAATATATACATGTTCAGAAAAATGTGGTTTCATCATTTCCTCCGCGTACAGGTTCATGACTCGAGCGACACAGCGAGCGCGGGAAGTCCGGCAAACACCATGACAGGCAACACACCGGTGGTACCTGGCGGTTCGTCGATATCATCCTCGTTAGCGAGGTGCTTCCAACGATCCCCAGACCAGCAGAAGATTGTAGATAAACTCTTGGAGATGTCTAGACCTCCCCCGCGTCTAATGTGCCGAACTTCCAGTACCGGAATGTGTCACCACTCTTCCTGCAACGCAGGTACTACCACCGCCTCCAGTAGCGTGAAGGAGGATTATGACAGTTCAGCCACGGTAAGACGAAACTTTTAATTCGCTCGAAGAGCTCGAATTCATCACCCCTGTGATCCTCGCCGCTGATACTTTCACGAGAGTCTCCTCGTTGCGGTGGTCCGGTTGTTGCTTTCAAATTTCGAGTCCTCTAATGTTTCATTACTTGTGCCACCCATTGTTAACTTCAGTGAATTTAAATCACATGAGAAGTAACACCGTCAGCGGTGCTTGGCGAAATATTCGTCGGTTTGACGTTACACCTTTTTATCAAGACACGCGCGCGCGTCGTCAGTTTCTTCCCCCCGTCAAACTTGACGGGGGGCTGATCAGTTAGAATGTAAAGCAATGCTTTTGCACGTCGATAGAGCCGTCTGATAGAGGTGCGCTAATTGTTTCAGGAGACAGCGGACGAAGGTCAGGGAGGTGCTGACTTAGATAATACCAGCGTTGTGGTGACATTGACAAGTGCTAGCAACACTGCGCCGTTGCACCAACAGGGTCAGCAGCAGCAACAACAGCAACCGCATCAGCAGCAGCAGCAGCAGCAGCAGCAGCAACAACAACAACAACAACAACCGCAGCAGCAACCACAACAACAACAACAACAACAACAACCGCAGCAGCAACAACAACCGCCCGTCGTTCACTCGCCACCTTCTACAACCAGCAACTCTAACCCCCTTACCGTGAAGGATCTTATGCTTGGAGTCATCGAGATGCAGTTGAAACGTCCAATGACCAACAGCCCAGCCGACATCGGCTCATCCGGCCCCAATAGCTCCGGCACGTCGACGATAACAAGTATATTAAAGTCGGACGCTCATCGTCACGAGATATCCCTTATGCGCAGCTACAAGCAGCCTCCAAACATGACGAATACTCCGTTGTCCAATAGAGACTCGAACTTGGCAACGTTGTCCGTCGTATCCGGACCTCATCACAGTCACCGCTCTGCTCCTAGCCCACAGCTCGGTAGGTCAACCAACAATGTTATCATTCGAATACATAATTGGAATGTTACAATTGTTACTCACACCATAGTGTGCTCTCTAAATTTCCTCGAGTGAGGATTCAGTAGAAAGGTAAAATTCAAGGACGAGTCCGCTCGTAAGATCTCACTCGAAGAAATTCCGCCGGCAGTACAAACGGCTCGGCCGTGACACTTACATAAAAAAGATACACTTGCTCAACTTCCTCGCTTGTCTCTTCTGTTTACAGTCCAAATGCAAGCTACTATAACTCCCTGTCCTCCTACTGCGCCGAGCAGTCAGACCTCGTCGTCGGACATCTTCCCGAAGGAAGGCCTGGTGGTGATGCAGGTGCAGCAGGCACTCCGGGAGACGGAGGGCACGCTCGACCTGAGTCTCAAGAAACCACGGCAACAGCAGGAATACAATCACTCGCTTCAGACGATGCACAAACCGCCGACCGGCACTCTGTATCGGCCGGAGCCCCCGTCAGGCGCCTACTACCACCCTCACGCGCCGCACTCGGAGCAAGGTCGTGGCGCGAAGAGTCCCTTGGTGTACGCGTCTTCCCCGCGGCCGCAAGTACCGCCTATCGCTTCGAAGATGAACAAGGTAACCGTGCCGCCGTCTCACCCCAAGCTCTCACCGAAACTCAGCAGCATGGGCACCCCGAGTCACAAGGGTGGGTCCATCACGCACGGTACGCCCGTGTCCACTGCTCGTTATGAGGGTCTGCTGCGGCAAATGACGCCGCCGGCCGGCGGCAACCCGACGACGGTGAGCGCTGCGAACGCTGGTGCTGGCGGCGGCGGCGGCAGTGTCGTGAACGTCAACACCAGCGGCGGTGGCGGCGGTCAAGGCCCAAAAGAAACGGGCTCCATCACCCAGGGCACACCAGTGCACCCGTTCGCGGTGGACAAACGCGGAACGCCCATGTACGACTATCATCGTGCCATCCGACATTCCCCTGTGACCGGTGGTGGTGGTGGCGGCGGCGGCGGCGGCGGCGGCGGCAGCGGCGGCGGCGGCGGTGGTGGTGGTGGTGGCGGCGGCGTCGGCGGCGGCGGCGGCAGCGTGCCGCCGCCGGGACAGGGCCCGGGTGGTCAGTCGGCGTCGGCCGCTGTGGTGGTGAGCCACAGCGGTCAGTACAACTCGTATTCCGGTCGACCGCCGCCCAGTTACACCATGGAGCAGCAGCTGTCCTCCCGGCAAATCATCATGAACGACTATATCACTAGCCAACAGATGCACGCGCGCGCAAGAAGCGGCGCAACGGGTGGCGCCGGTGAACCAGTCGCCGGCAAGAGCAACGAACAGCCGGCTCCGTCGACGTTGTACTACGCCAGCACGCCGCCACCTCCTCCGCCGCCTCAGACACACACGCAGGCACGACAGGGTGTCATACAGAGGCATAATCCGCAGAAGCAGTTGCACTATCAGCCACCGCCTGGTCTGGAGGCTTTCTCCAGTCTGGTGGATGTGGCTGTGCAACAGCCCAGTCTTCCGGTGCCGCACCCGCATGGTCACCCGGCGGCCGCGTCCGGCAGCGGCGGCCACGAAGGTCTCGGCAAGACGATGGCGGATCGGCTGTTGGCTGACCATTATGTGGACAACAACCGGGCGTTCCGTGAGCAAGAGATGCGACTGCAGGAGCACCGTATGATGCAGGCGGAGCACAGGATGGCGGCGGCGGTGGCGCATCACCATCAGCGCGACCGGGACCTCGCGCATCTGCGCGAGAAGGAAGAGCATCGCCTGCATCGGGAGAAGGAACTGCAGCAGTTGGAGCATCGACTAGTGGTGCAGCAGCGTGAGAAGGAGATCCAGCAGCAAGAGCACGCGCGTCTGGCGCAACAGCGGGAGAAAGACATGCAGCACGTCGAGCACCGGTTGCCGATGCAACAACGCGAAAAGGAGATGCAGCACGAACAACATCGGCTCGTGCCGTCCATCGGCACCGTCCATCAGCATCGAGAGAAAGAACTCCACCGTCATCAACTAGTGGTGGCTGCGGCGCAACGCGACAAGGAACATCAGGAGCACCGACTGATCGTGCAGCAGCATCGAGAGAAGGAGATACAGCAGCAGGAGCAGAGGCTCACGATCCACCAGCAGCGCGAGAAGGACATACAGCGCGAGCGAGACCTCGTGCATATGCAGCAGATACAGCAGCAGCAGCAGCAGCAACAGCAACAACAGCAGCAGATGCAGCAGCATATGCAGCAACAGCGCATGGAGGCGGAGAGAAGGCATATAGTTCAAATGTACAGAGAACAGCATCAGCAACAGCAGATCGACCGGGAAAGCTCGCGGCTGGTCAACAGCGGATTCTCGCAGCAGAGCAGGCTAGTGCCGCAGATGTCGCACCAGTCGCAACAGCAGCAACAACAGTCGTCCAGGCAGAGTCAGTCGTCCAGCCAGCAGCAGAACGACTCGTCCTCGACCCTCACCGCCGCTAGCCTCATAGATGCCATTATAACACATCAGATCAATCAGAGTGTCGAGAACTCGAGCGGAAGCGGCTCATCTGCCAACCAGCCTACTCGAGCGAGTGATCGCCTCTTCCAGGTAGAGACAAACGTTCATCCCTTGCTACTCTTATCGCAGTCTGCGCAGTCTGACGACGGTAGACTAAATCGTGCAGCGACCGATCACCTGCCATAAAGCAAGTCTACTTTGTTCGCAGGGATTTCATCGTGAGACCACCCAAGAATCTAACGGTATCGCGCATAGTCCTGCTGGAGACGGAGGCGGGGGTGGTAGCGGTGCGAGCGGAAATGGAAGTGGAAGCAACAAAGCGATCACTCTCGGCGAGCATGTCGAGCACATTGTGTCTAAAGATTTTTGTCCACCGCATTCATCCTACAGACCTTACACCGGGTAAGCCGCACTCCGCAGGAGGGCAGTGTTGTTTCAGGCTGCTCGTCGCGTTTCTGTATCTCGTATTCGTAGGTTTCGCATGATGCTTTTTGTATTAGTACGTTGCGTCTCCGAAGGAGAAACTGTGTTGCAACGGTCGGGAAAGACTACGTCTGGAAGACAGCGTTGCAAAATTCAAGTAGACTTTGCGAGAGAGACGTTTAACGGAGAAATCTTTTTATTTTGCGGCGTCACGATGTGCGATCACGAGGTACGATTTGTACCTCATGTACCTTGCAAATGACCTTGCAAAACTCCGCTCTTCTTCCCTGTAGATATCAAATTTCTGAGGATCAGTGGAAAAGACGAAAAATGAACGAGCCGGACTCGGTGAAGGCTGGAGACGAGCGGCAGATAATACGCGTCGCCCAACAACAGCAACAGCAGCAGACGCAACAGCAGCAACATCAATCCGCGTCCTCCTCGGTGGGGAAGCAGCAGTTCCAGCATTCCGTCGAGCCCGTCTCGCCTCCGGAAGCGACCAGCAATCACTACGGGCGTCGTTTTTACGAATCGACCACTGCCACATCCACTTCCGGTACACCCTCCAACAAGCCCCATCTGTCGCCGTTAGACTACGTAAAGAACAAGATCGTGGAAGTGATGCGAACATCCGAAGATGACAAGGCTAGTGGCAGCGCAGCTGCGGTTTCGTCTGATAGAAATGGCGGCAGTGGCGGCGGCGGCGGCGGCGGCAACAACAACAACAACAACAACAACAACAACAATAACAACAATAACAACAACAGCAACAGCATCGTCTCAAGCGGCGCCGGCAGCGGTGGTGGTGGTGGTGGCGGCGGCGGCGGTAACGGTAGTGGTGGCGGCGGCGGCGGCACCGGCAGCGGTGGCGGCGAAAAAACGACGGACGAGAAGACGGCGGCAGGCGCGAGCGCGGAGAGGAGCCCGTCCGTCGGCGGCAGCGGCGAGATGATTGTCGACGAGACGACGCCGAGCCGAACCACCCCGCAACCACCGCCGCCACCCGCACCGGCGCCGACTACCAATTTCTATCCGTTCAGCGCGTTAGGCGTGCACACAGGTCCGCCACCGGCGCCGCCACCTACCGCCACGTCGACCGTCTCCGCCTCCGTCACAAAGTCCGAACAGATGCAGGCCGAGCCGGCGCCGTTGCTCTCAGCGCAATACGAGCCGCTCTCGGACGAGGATTGATAGTCGCGCCGATTTCGTGGTGCTACCGCTACTTACTGTTTTTTGTAATTAGTTTGAAGAGAGAAATGCTGTGACACGTTTCCTTAGGACATGAATCCTACAGGATATTCGAATATTGGACGATTCACCGACACACGCTTATGGGCACGAGAGAAGCCACACTGCGTTCATTATCGGTCGCCAAATCCTAATCTAATTTAAGAGACTTCTTCTTTTTTATATATACGCATATATATATTATATATATGTAGATATATGCATATACGAAAATTTTCGATCTCCCGAAACGAATGGGGGAGTCTCCGTCGTATGATGTTTTAAACCAAGTCCCAACACACATTGTTTTATGTAAACTTTGTAATTTTCATTGTATTTTTTAATCAAAGGATCATTCCCGAATGCTATGCAGAAAAGAAAAAGAGGCGAACATTTATGAAATGAATAACTCGTTTTATCGCCTTTCATGGTATGTCGCCGACTTTTGGTTATATAAACGCTTAGAGACACACTTTTACCTGCTAATTAGTTATATGCAATGTATAATTTATAATGCCGATATGGACACTAAAATTAATGTGTGTGTGTGTGTGTATGTGTGTGTATGTATGTGTGTGTATATATGTATATGTATGTATACATATATGAAGCAATTTATACATGTATATGATGCATTGGTGATATATATAACTATATGCAAATATATATATATATTTGATATAAATACATACATATATATATATATACATATATTTATATATGTGTGTGTGTGTGCGTGTGTGTGTGTGTGTGTGTGTGTGTGTGTGTGTATAGTCAATGTGAATACAAAACTGATATACCTAATGACCGCCATGATTTTAAAGGAACTCCTTTTAAATTGGAAATTAATTTTGAAAAATTTAATCACGCGCGTGGTTAAATACATTCAGTTTTAATGGAGAAAGAGAGAGAGAGAGAGAGAGAGAGGGAGATGTATAGAAGAATAACAGAGAGATTAAAAGAGAGAAAGAGAGTAAGTAGCAATTTGGCAAACTTGTGTTTTTTTATCATCTTCAGGTATAGTACCTCGGATTATAATGAAGAAGAGATAAGTTGAAGAATGAGTATTCGCCCTATATTCTTTTCACTTTTTAAGTCATTCGATTTCACGCGGACGTTTGATGATTCGTTGCACGAAAGGAGGAAAGAGAGCAATGATCGGCATCTCGATAATTCGATATGACCTATTTGTTGATATCGATGCCACGCGCGCGTACAAGGCTTTAGTTATTCGATTGAGTTAAATTACTTTTGTTTTCCTTTTCGTTTTCTTACGTTGACTTGGGCTTGACCAGTCTGCAAAGCCACCGCCAATTTGCGCGCAAGTACGATCTGCGGAACGTGTGTGACATTTGGCATGCGCGTGTATGTATACGTGTATATGTATATATATGCGTATCTGAGCACGCACATGTGTGTATGTGTGTGTGTGTGTACATGTTACACTGTGAAAGAAAAAGAACAATGTAATTGAGTTTCAACTACTAGTGATGCCATTTTAATCGTCACATGTTAGTATTTCTGTTCACAATCATGTTCATTGCATTCTATACTGGATTGATTACTTATTTAATTTATATAGCACGTGTCACACTTCAGATTTCTTTTTGTTTTCCATTTTTTTTCTCTTTCATTGTCTCTACGACTCATACGTGTGAGAAAAACAAATTAACATTGGTATTTTTCTTCCAAAGTACAGAGGATGCATATATACATATATATAAATATATATTATACATACACAAGACACACATGTGTACATGTATACATATATATAAACGACATACATACACACACACACACACACATATACATACACACACACATATATATATATATATATACATATATACATATTTGTTCACATAATACAGACGCTTCTTTTGTACATAATGATGAAGACAAGATGTATAATCGTTAAGCGATAATATACAACGCTGCGACGTACACGTAGCGTATACAACGCTGAGGGGGCGTGTGTGTTTTTATTTGGAATGAATCTGTGATGTATCTGGAATTAATAGGTTCAACTGTTATTTACCAGTGCAAAGCGTAGCCTGTAGTTTGGAACAGAGAATAGGAAAGAGTATGTGTATGTATGTGTGAGAAAGAGAGTGGGAGAAAGAAAAAGAGAGAGAGAGAGAGAGAGAGAGAGAGAGAGAGATCGCGCGAGTATATTTTAGCGCGTCGCGTTTCAACGTGAATCAACCCTTCAACGTCGTTCTCTTCTTGGTGAGGCGGGTTTAAGAGAAAAAAAAAAGTAAAAAAGAAGAAACGGTATAACTCTAAGTGTTGTACATAATACATAATAATATTAATTTCTAAGTTGAGCAAGTAATATTGGCTAGATTATCCGTATGCTATTGTATAAGGAATTTAGGTTTAGCTATAAATCGCCGTAGCTAGCATTTAGCGGTTTAGACAGCCACGAACTGATTAGGGAAAAAGAACTTTCCTCCGCCCTCCCTCTTCGCAACGCCGCGCTCCGCTCCGCCAAGCCCCGATCCGCTCCCGAACAATATTCACTTATTGATAAAACGACGGAAAACGATATGAAACATAGGCGATTAAATTGGTGGAATTGTTATCCGCAAAAAACGAGATTGTATATGAATTTATTTTATTTATTTCGAACGACAAACCCGAACGCACCGAATGTATCCGAACACGTGTTGACATGCACTATACACACACACACACACGCACACACATACACTTTTTCGCACACGGCGGTCGTGGAAGATCGCAGGAAGCTTGTCCTTTTCGTGTAAGTTTGAAGGATATATCCGTCTTGCCCGAATGGGAAAGAATTCTCCCATTAGAAAACAAATTTTCTCATTGGATCAGATGGATACTTTCCGGGACAACTCACACAAAAATTATGGACAATCTTTTCATCCCCAGTTGTACACTCGTGAACTAAAAGGTATGTGCACCGATTTTTTGTTGACTTCGGAACGCGCTCCAACTGGAGGAGAAAAACAACCACTGCTTCATACGTCAGCGCTGTCACTTATTACGAGAGCAGAAGGATGGCATATACGGGTGTCAAATAAGTAGTGATTGTGGCGTAGACACAAATGTCTTGGAGACTTTGAGTTATAATTGAAGAAATGAAGACAACAAATAGTGATTGTGAAGAAAAGTGGCAAAAGGCTTCATAAAATTTGTAAAACAGCATATTAAAGGAGAGTATTAATTGTCTAATAATATTTTAAGTGAAAAATATTTATAAATTTGAGTGTAAATTAAAAAAAAGTTATAAACCATAATTTCTTTAATATTAATGATTTTATAGCTATAAATTTGCCATTGACGTTAAATGAATATGTATGTAATGCTATCATTTATATAGGTGGAAAATTATGTTATTGCGCTCATAAAAAATAAACAGCAGACCAAGTCGAGTGATATCTTTTAACAAGATACTCATATCACTCAACTTGGTCTGCTGAACACAATAATATAATTCCTCACCTATGGAAATAATAGCATTATATATATATTCATTCGACGTCGATGATAAATTTATTAACATTAAAGAAATTATGGTTTATAACTTTTTTAACTTACACTCAAATTTAAAAATATTTTTCACTTAAAATATTATTAGACAATTAATACTCTTCTTTAATATACTGTTTTACAAATTTTATGAAGCCTTTTGCCATTTTTCTTCACAATCACTATTTGTTGTCTTCATTTCTTCAATTATAACTCAAAGTCTTCAAGACATTTGTGTCTACGCCACAATCACTACTTATTTGACACTCGTATATGCCATCCTTTTGCTCTCGTAATAAGTGACAGCGCTGACGTATGAAGCAGTGGTTGTCTTTCTCCTCAAGTTGGAGCGCGTTCCGAAGTCAACAAAAAATCGGTGCACATACCTTTTAGTTCACGAGTGTACACACATACACATGTGCCGCTCAACCACCTCGTGCGACCCGCGCGCGTGCACGCGACGCAGTCCTTGCGAATTTCGTCGTCGCTCGATTCCTTCCGAAAAAAAAGAGCGTCTCGCCCGTCATCGCCGGAGACAATCGCTCTCTTTCAACGCAACGAAGAAGCAAAAATGTGCATTTTTCGTGTCGTCGCGTAGCGCGTGACTGAGATATTGAGATTTCGCTCCAGGAAGAAAAAGAACAAAGGTCTACGAACTACTTACGCCGCCATTCAACTGTACCGATCGAGAACGCGACGGAGAGTGCCTCTCCTTTTGTCTTCGCGACGTCGTTTTCCTCAAAGTGATCCGTTCGCGAATCCCTCCGACCGGAGGATCGTTTCCCAAAGGAAAAAAAAAATGATCGCGCGCGAATCGGTCTTCCCTCTCCCCTTCCGCTCGCCTGGGCGATTACTCTCCCGCCGCAAATTTCGGTGAACACACGCGTGAATTCCGTTTGCCTCTCACTCTTTACCAGCATCTGCATAATCCTCTCTCTTTCCCTTCATCCGTAACACGCCAAAACACCACCGATCGTCGCGTCCGCGTAACGGGACGCGTGCCGATCCGGCGGAACCCGTCCGCCGCGGTTTTTTCACGGAACGCACACAGCACCGTGTGTCACCACCGGGCGCGCGCCTTCGAGGATTCCTTGTTGTTGTACAAAAGAAGAAAAAAAGAAAGAAAGACTCGCCGGGCTCCCGACGAAAGCGTCGAATGCTTCCAGAGTTAAGTGGAGGTAGATATAATAATGTGTAGATATGGTCACACACGTCCTCTCACACACACAGATACGTACACCTAACAGACGCATAATGCAGATACACACCGAGAGAGAGAGAGAGAGAGAGAGAGAGAGAGAGAGGGAGGGAGAGGGAGAGATACACGGCGCGGAGAAGCGATTGAATGAATCTAATCGACATGTCCGAGAGGCGACGAGCGAGAAACACGCGACCGCGTGGCTCGATCTTCGTGCATACTTGTTCAGAGGAGAGAATGTCCTCGGCGTCACGTTTCCTCCTCCTCGTGTAGTACCTGAGCGAAACAGACCGCCCGCGTTTAGCAATCGCCCCTGTCGAAAGAGAGAGAGAGAGAGAGAGAGAGAGAGAGAGGAAGAGAGAGGGGAGAAAGAAGAAGAGGTCGGCGAGTCGCGAACGCTTGCTCGCGAGCGCGAGAGTGGCACGGCTCCAGTTCCCGGTTATTCTCAAATCAAGTTCCTCCGTTATTCTCGACTTATCGCCCTCTCTTGAACGAGACGAAACGCTGTCTTCGAGAGTACCGATGTCTTCGCTGTCGTTAAGCGTCGATTCCCACGCGACCGAATTTGTCTCGTCACATACTCGGGTTACTTGGA